GGGTCAGAATAGTTACTAAAAGTATTCCCCGATGGTCCCTATATAAGTATACCATCATAACCCCCCAAAACCCTATTCTAATTATTAAGGCCCCTACAGTACAGGGTGCAGGGCCAGGGCCGAATAATCGAGCATCTAAACCTCAAACGCTGAACTCGAAATCCTAAACCCTAAACCTGAAATCCTAAACCCTAAGCCCCACGCTCTAAACCCCAAGCCCTGCTTGTCTCCAGGTACCGCAAGATTCGCAGGAGGGCGCATTCTGGCTTGAGAAGGCCCTGGTCGTATAGGGTTTCGGGTTTATCCCTAAACCCTAAACCCTAAACCCTAAACCCTAAACCCTAAACCCTAATTAAACCCTAAGCCCTAAACCCTAAACCCTAAACGGATTCCCTAGAATATTCATTGGTGTCCTGAACATGCAGCATTCTTCGAACCTTAAACTCTACCCCAAAAACAAAATCTATTAACCCAAATTGCAAGCCGAAGTTCTCAGTCCTAAACCTAAAGCCTTAAACTCTCAATTCCAAAACCTAATCCCCCCTATCACCCTACTTGAAAGTTCAAGGGTACTTCTTGCACTCTAAATAAGGTTGTATCCATGTAGTTGCCTTACTTGTAGCCCGTGAACCTTCAAACACCTAACACACTGAAACCCTAAACCCTAAACCCGAAACCCTAAACCCTAAACCCTAAACCCTAAACCCCTCACCCTAAACCCCGAACCCTAAACACCCCAAACACCCTAAACCGCCAAGCCCAAACACCTGCAGGCTGCCGACCAGGGAATGCCTTTGGCGCAGTACTTCTTCGCCGTCACGCCTGGCACCCCAGACTTCCAGGGGTTTAGGGTTTAGGGTTTAGGGTTTAGGGTTTAGGGTTTAGGGTTTAGGGTTTAGGGTTTAGGGTTTAGGGTTTAGGGTTTAGGGTTTAGGGCGTGTGGGGGATCAGGGGTACCGGTACTTGTACCTATAGGTAGGGCACCTACGGAACCTTAGGGTGCCTGTACCGCTACATATAAGTACTCCTAAACCCTAAACCCTAAACCCTAAACCCTAGACCCTAGAACCTCCAAGTAGGGTTTGAGAGTTTGCTTGTGAGGGTGTTTAGGGTTCAGGGCTTGGGTTCCTGCAAAGCTTAGGGTTTTTCAGGCTTCCCTGGAGGGGTCTAGGGGTTGAGGGGGGTTTAGAGGGTTTAGAGGGGTTTCGGGTTTAGGGCTTAAAGGCTGATTTTCCGGAATTTCGAGGGTTTTTGTTTCAGTTCAGGGATTGTATAAGGTATACATAGGGGCTATCGAGGGGAATATGATTAAGGGCCCCTTCTTGTGGTCCCTCCTTATTCCCTTTTAATGTGTCTTTCTTCAGGGTTTTTTTGGGGTTCAGGGTCGAGGGTGTCGCGGCTTAGGGTTGTAGGGTTAGAAGGCTACGGGGTTTTAAGCAGGGCTTAGGGGTTTATAGGGTTTAGGGTTTCGGTGAATCTGGGGACTTTTCGTGCCAGGTCCTGAAACGTGTTTTTTGGAAGTCTTTGGCTTGACCCTAAAACCGTCTGAGCCCTAAAGGCCCGAGAACCTGTAACCCTGAAACTCTTTACTAAGAGGAACCCAAAGCCCTAAGACCCTATAGACCTGAAACCCTAAAACCCTAAACCCCTGAACTTTATGAAACCTAAAAAAACTCTAAAACCCCCCTTACCAGGATGCCCAGTAGTACCCTTCTTCCCTTCTTGGGGGATCTAGGTTCCCTTGTACACCCCATAACCCTAAACCCTAAACCCCAATCCCTAAACCCTAAACCCCATAAAAGGGCACCCTTGCTAGACTTGGAGGTTCATGGTACTTAGCAACCCAATGACAACTGCACTTATAACCCAAGTATAGGTCCACTAGGGTACTTGAGGGGTCTATAAGTGATGATAACTACACCCTAAACCCTAAACCCTAAACCCTAAACCCTAAACCCTTAAGAGCCCCACCCAGGTGCCTACAGGAAGGGGTCGAGGGAGATGAGGAGAAGGCCAGTGGGGAGGGTTTCTTAAGACCTCCATCACCTACGACATTGGGGATTGAGAGCTTTAGGGTTTGGAGGTTTAGGAGTTTCAGGGCTGTAGATTTTTTGGGCTTTAGGGTTTTAGGCTCTTTGGGTTTAGGGCTTTCGGGTTTTGGGTTGAGTGAAGGGTTGGGGCTTTGTAATGTTCAGGATTTAGGGTTTCGTGTCTCAATGCCTCACCGTAGAACCCTGCTCATAAACATGTGCAAAAAGCCCGGGGAAGGTTTACCAGGCTCCGCCGAGCCATGCCTTTCTACTGTGTAGCTCTGTTTTCGGCCCGCGAGGCAACAGTTCTGAAACCCGAATGGCATGCTGACCGTACTCGGGCCCTTACACTGCTAACACACCCAAGGCCAAAGTTACAAAACCGCCCAACCCACAAACCCCAAAACCCCGAAACCCTCAACCCCCCCAGTCCCCAAACTCCAAACCAGAAACCCCCAAAAACCCTAAACCCTAAACCCCAAACCCTAAACCCTAAACCCTCACGAAAACCCAACCGAACCCATACGTAGGCCGGCCTGTCTCAACCTCCAAGTCTCTGGGGTTTAGGGTTTAGGGTTTAGGGTTTAGGGTTTAGGGTTTAGGGTTTAGGGTTTAGGGTTTAGGGTTTGGGGTTTAGGGTATAGATGCTTAGGGCCAGACTGGGGGATTCCAGTCTATTTGGGGTATAAAAGGGGGTACCCCTATTGTGGGAAATGTCCAGCTAGAGTTCATTTTGTGGGGGTTCAGGGTTTAGGGTATTTAGCAACAGTTTGTTTTACGTTTGTTGGGGCATGGGGGGGGGGCTTAGGTTGCGCGAGTTCAGGGTGTAGCGTTCTGGGGGCTTGGGGGGTTTTGGGGGGTTTGCGGGCTTGGGGCGGTTAGATTTTAAGAGCCTTCTCTCCCAGGCTTGAAGAGCCAAAGCTCGACAACGGTCTCACCCCTGTGCCCATGACTTGGCTACCGTGAGAGCGGGGCTATGCATCGCCGACCTCCTGGCGGCTGACGACAGGGTCTAGGTTTCAGGGTTTGGGGTTGGGGGTTTGGGTTTAGGGTTTGGGTATCCTGCAGGCCACCCGATCCCTGCTATCAAGGCAGTCAGTGTTTCGGAAGCTCCTGGTTGTTTGAGTGCTTGGTACCAAAATAAACCCTAAACCCTAGACCCTAACCCGAAACCCTTAACCCCAAACCCTAAACCCTAAACCCCAAACCCCAAACCCTACCCCTTGGTAGTCCTTGGGGTTTGCACGTGGCTTTTTGTTCTAGGGTTGAGCTCGTGCTGAGGCCAGGCCCCTCCAATCAGGGTTTGGGGTTTAGGGTTTAGGGTTTAAACCCTTAGGGTTTAGGGTTTCGGGTTTAGGGCTTAGGGTTTAGGGTTTAGGGTTATACCCTAAACCCATTAGGCCGCCCGATACATGAAGTCCGCCGCGGAGAGCGGGATTCCAGATGCTCAGCTGGGGCGCCCAGGTTCTCAGGGTCTTAGGGGGCTCAACCCTAAATCCTAAACCCTAAAGCCCTAAACCCTAAACCCTAAACCCTAAACCCCAAAGGGGTTTTGGGTTTTTTTGGGCTTGGTAAAACCTAAGCCCTAAACTGCAGTGCAGGCTGATTTTTTCTGTTGGGGTGGGGGGATGAGGGGGGTTAGGGTTCAGGGTTGGTTTTGCGCCTTTTTTGCTTCTTTGTTTGGGTGGGGGTGCTGAGGAGGTGCGTTCGGTGTGTAGGGCTGGTTTATTGGAATTTGTGTTCAGATCGTAGTCTTCCGAATACTTGCGGTTCTGTCGTCAAAGCATTGGGCGATAAGGCGTTAGCTAGCCGACACTCTCAACCCGAAACAGGTGCCTTTAGGGGAACTCTTATGATAAAGGTGCTGTGTTTCATTGTAGCAGGGACACCCCTCGAAAAAGGGATCCTAACCTGGAGAAGTACGGAAGCACTTAAAACCGAAGCCCGACCCTAAGTAGGGTTTAGGGTTTATAGGGTTTAGGGTTTAGGATGTAAGGTTGTAAGTAGGGTAGCTATGGTTGCAACCCGAAAAAGGGTACTTGTAACCCTATGCTCATAATCATAAAGTACCCATGAACCTTTGACACACAAATTTTCAGGGGGAAAGGCACAAACTTGGGCGGGCAAGGCACAAACCTTCGTAGGCGTGGGCCTAGTGGTGTTGCGCCTGGGCGGGCTGGAGGGGCCGGAGGGTGGGGGGGGGGGAGTGTTTAGGGTCTAGAGGTTAATTGGGGGGTCGAGGAACCCCACAGCAAAACCCGCCCGCACGTCCCTTGCGTTCGAAGTCGCTTTCTCTCGTGGGCCCTCTCTTGGACTCAAGGGGCGCCTCAACTGTTGCATCCTGAGCCGAAAGTTGTACAGACACAGGCAAATAAATATACATATGTATGTGTGTAGAAATATATTATAGAGAGAGACGTTTATTCATATATATATATATATATATGTATGTATATATATACACACATATACATATACATATACACATATACATATACATATGTACATCTAGATATACATATACGAACAATGTATAGTATGACTATAGCCCCCCCCCCCCCCCCCAATCACAGCACAACAACCAAGATCTCAAGACCTTGCGGTATGGTAGGCAGATCTCGCTTTCAAGCTGAAACAGAGGTTGCAGGCTGGGTTCAGCCGGACTCAACCGAGCACCGAGCCATTTACCCCTGAACCTGCAGCAGACCCTACCTGGGACCCTCTTTACCTACAGATGGGTTAATTATACCTACTAGTTAAGGGTAGTTACTACTAAACTGTACGCAAAGCTACAGTTCTGTGGGTTAGTTATACCTACTAGTTAAGAGTAGCTGCTACTAAACTGTAGGTAAAACTTTGCGAAGTGCCCACGGGCCACCATTTTAGGGTTTAGGGTTTAGGGTTTAGGGTTTCGGGTTTCGGGTTTAGGGTTTAGGGTTTAGGGTTTAGGGATTGGCTCCAAGCAACTCCATGCTGCGCGTTTGGAGCGTTTCGGGCGAGGAGCTCGCCGCGCGCCTTAGCTGCTCTGAGAATTTTAGGGTTTAGGGTTTAGGGTTTAGGGTTTAGGGTTTAGGGTTTAGGGTTTAGGGTTTAGGTAACGACCCCTCAGTTTTTTTGGGGTTCGAAAACCGTTCAGAATCCGAAGGTTAGGTTCTTCGCCTCAAGAACCCAGGGCCGCAACCCCCGAAACCCTAAACCCCAAACCCCCATTTTTCCTCCCTTGAGAACTCAGCCAGTAAGACTTCCTCTGGAGCAGTTCAGCTTCGGGGACTTGGAGGCTTCTGGCGCGGAGACGCCTGCAGGCCAGCCAGTCCGTGCACTGAAGCGATGCTCCTGGTATGCACGCGGAGAAGTAATGGCTTGAGTTGTTCTTTTGACACGCTTCTGTAGGGTTTAGGGTTTAGGGTATAAACCCTAAACCCGAAGCCCGAAGCCCGAAGCCCGAAAATCCAGCCCCTTGAACTGCTTTTGCGCCTGCAAGATCTTTGAACATCTTCGGCATCTAACTCTACATCTTTTTGAGGCTTCAAATCTTTAGAGAAGCACTTGAAGTGAAACCATTGCAGAAAAGGAAAGACATGTTCGCATGTTGCGATTGCTTTGGCGGAACAGGTTTGTCCAGCTTTTGCGGGCACTCGCGATTCCGGCAGAGGCTAGTGGATGAAAACGGAGACTTGCCAGTTCAGCACATTTGATGAATCTTGGGTTTCAAGGGTTTAGGGTGAGGCTTGATTAGGGTTTAGGGTTTTCGGGTGTTAGGGTTTTAGGGTTTTAGGGTTTCAGTATTCAGGGCTTTCGGGTTTGGGGTTTAGGCAAGTGTAACCTTATAAACCTCGGCCACCAGCAAACAAAACTGCGCGCGGAAGCCGCAGCCGCCTCGGCAAGCAAGTTTCTGAATTGTAGGGCTCGTCTTACCACTATTCAGCGTTCGGTTCCAGCCCAAACCCTAAACCCTAAATTTAAACCCTAAACCCTAAACCCTAAACCCGAAACCCGAAACCCGAAACCCAACACCAAGGAGCCATCCTTGACGACTCGACGCCTTTGGCACGGCCTCTGGATCTCCAACTGCTCCTGCCGCTTAGGGATACTTGGGAAACATTGTTGTTAATCTTAGGGTTTAGGGTTTAGGGTTTAGGGTTTAGGGCTACTATAGTTCCTCAAAAACAGCAACAATTATCATCTTTGCTCGGGTTCCAAAATCAGTATAGGCTGCCCTTGGTGCCCACGACGCAGGCTCGGGAGTGTTTTTAGGGTTGTGGGGGTGCTTTGGGGGGTTGAGGGTAGCCCTAAACCCTAAACCCTAAACCCTAAACCCTAAACCCTAAACCCGAGTCTTTTTGTGTTTCTGTTGGTTTCTTTGGTGGGGGAGGGGGGGTTGGGGGAGTTCGAGCTTCCAGGGCAGTTTAGTGTTTTTGTTTAATGTTTTGGGGCTTTCAGGGTTTAGGGTTCGGGTTAGACTGATAGCGTATTCGAGGTTTCGGGTTCGCGGTTCGCTTTTTTTGGCGCTTGAAGTCTACGGCTTGCGGTGAAGAGTGTTTTGGAGGTTTTTAGGCGCTTTCTTGGCTTGGGGTTAGGGCTTACATAGTCCGTGTAGTCCCCAAAGTGCACCCTATAAAGCGCCTGCAAAGTCCCACGGGTTTTATTGTCTTCGTGCCTTCAGGCGGACGCGGCAAAGCTTGCGAGCGCGGTCGGGGGTGGTCACCTGGAGCTGGTCGAGGAAATGCTGCGCCTGAACCCATCACTGGGGCCTTGTTGTTTCTGGTTTTACATGTCTGTCATATTAAATTCCCAAAAAAGGGATAAACATGATCATTTGTTAATATAACCCCAGGGCTTGCGAGTGGTTTAGGATGTATCTCAGCCGAGGGTCTTTGCCAGCCTCCAGAACTTAGACCAAAAACCCTAAACCCTAAACCCTAAACCCTAAACCCTAAACCCTAAACCCTAAACCCTAAACCCTAAACCCTAAACCCTAAACCCTAAACCCTAAACCCTAAACCCTAACCTGGGGACTCTCCCTCTCCCTAGTCGCCTGATTCCAGGCATCGGCCCATCGACCCAGATTGCATGGGGCGGCCGAGTGGCGTGGCCGCCAAAGCCAGCCCCACCCACCTAGGGTTCAGGGTTTCGGGTTTAGAATGCAGGGTTTACCCCCCAAACCCTAAACCTTACCCTCGACCCAAACCCTTTAGATGGTGTAGGATTTGGAGCTTTGAGGGTCTATTGGGTGAGTATGGGTAAGTCTTAACCCTCCACAGGGACAAAACGGGATCTCGGTAATTCTGTTGGCGCATTGGGTTCATGATTTCGGGGTCTGGATTCTCCGGCTTTGGGGTGTTGGTCTTGAGGGGCTTGAAGGGAGTCTTAAGTTGGGGATGTAGTGTTGGCATCTTGGCTTCAGGGGACGGCCATAGCGAGGCAAAAGGTAAAGGGGGGGGGGGGGGGGGCATGTAAGGTTGGGGCGCCTAAACCCGAAACCCGAAACCCTAAACCCTGAGCCTTGAAAGCAGCAAAGGTGAGACCGCTTTGATGTTTGCGGCCTCCCGGGGTAAATGCGACATGGCCGCTTTGCTTCTGGAGGCGCGGCAGGCTTTTGTTGGTACCTTTTTTGCGGTTGAGGGTTTAGGGTTTAGGGTCTAGGGTCTAGGGTCTAGGGTCTAGGGTTTAGGGTGCCCTCTTGGAGGGTTTTGGGCTCCTTTTCGAGAGTAACCGCCACCGCCGTCACAAACCTAGGAGCTTAGGGTGTAGGGTCTAGGGTTAGCGTGAGTTCGTTGAGGGTTGGCGTTTCAAGAGTCGAGGCTTAATTTCGTAGATCTACTATCCAGGCTAGGACAAACCATCCTGCCGGTCAACGCTGTCCTCCGTCGTAGATGTGTCGCCTGGAGCGATGAGTGAGCTTTACTGCGGGTGATATCGAGCAGCTTACACGACGGCTAGCCCGGCTTTTTCCAGAAGGAGCTACCCAAAATCTGGTTATTTTATTTGTAAGGGTTGTATAGCTACCCCCCCCCCCCCCCCCACCCCCTAAGCCCTAAGCCCTAAACCCTAATGCCCGCCCCAAGTACGCCATCCCCCATCCGAGAGCCCGACCCCCTGAGCTGAACCTCGAAATGCACGTGAACCTCACGTTAGATCAATCCGAAGCCCAGAACCCCGAACCCTAAACCCAAAATGGGTTTAGGGTTTAGGGTTTAGGGCTTCCCCCGAAACCCTATACCCTGAACTCGGAAGCCCCAGCGCGCAAAGCTGTGTCGAAGGCTGGTGCGAACAAAGATGCGACCAATCGGCTTGGAAGGCCGGGCCACAAGTTGGTTGGGGTTTAGGGTTTAGGGTTTAGGGTTAGGGTTTCGGGTTTCGGTTTTTCGGGTTTAGGGTTTCGGCTTTCGGCTTTCGGGTTAAGGGTGTCGGGTTTCGCCTTCAGAGCTTCGGGCTTAAGATTTCGGGTTCAGGGTTTCGGATTCAGGGGCCACCGGAAAAAGAAGAACAACCACCAAGAAAGGACAATTCTGCACACCGGACTCTCGTTTCTTGCTGGGCAACTCTTCATTGTCGCTTCTTGGTGGGCACTGCAAAAAACTCTTACGCGCCAAATTTTGACAATTGCACACCAAAAACAATTGCCCACCAAGAAATGACATCTTGCCCACAAGACTCTCACTTCTCGGTGGGCAATTCCTATTCTTTGGTGGGCCATGGTCATTTGTGGCCGGGTTTGGCCCAAGGGGTTCGGGGCGAGGGGACAGTCATTCCTGATGGGCAATTGTCACCGTAAACCCTAAACCCTAAACCCTAAACCCTAAACTCTTTTTCTAGGGTCTGGGACACAGGGTGTGGGATCCTAGGGTTTGGGGCATAGGGTTTAGGGCCCTGGGGTGGGCATAGGGAAAAATATCGATTTTGCATTTTTCGTAATAATATGGGATTGCATTTTCGTAATAATATAGGATTCTTTGGGTGGGTAGGGCTGCTTCACTAGCGTATGCTTGGACTTGAGATGCTGAACCCTAAGCCCTAAACCCTAAACCCTTTAACCCTAAATCCTAAAACCCTAACCCTGTAACCCAAAACCCTATAACCCTAAACCCCTACAACCCTAACCCCTAAATTCAACCCTCAAACCCTTCAACCCTGAACCCCTAAACCCAAAACTCCCCACCAGAACCCTGTAACATTTACGAAAAGCTCTCGCAGGACGCCGCTGTTCGCTGCCGCGCTGATGGGACACGTCGAGGTGTCCAGGCTGTTGCTGGAGGCCGGCTACACTAAGTTTAAGGGTTTGGGGTTTAGGGTTTAGGGTTTCGGGTTTAGGGTCCCTTAGAAACCTGAGCCGTAACCCTATAAGCCCTGAACACGTATACCCAAGCCCTTAAGCCCTCGAGCCCATACAAGCCCTTCAGCCTTGAACCCTTAACCTTGAACCTTCAGCCCTTGCACCCTCGAACCCTTGAACCCTCAATCCCTTCAACCCGTAAACCCTTGAACCTCAAACCCTTAATCCCTTAATCCCTTACTTACCCTAAACCCTATACACCTTAACCCCAAACCCTAAACCCTCAACCCTAATCCCTGAGCCACAACTCGGCGGAGGCCCGCGCAGAAGTGGACAAGGCCGACAAGGAACTCCGGCCTCAACTCTGGAATTACCGCGTTTATCTAGGGGGCAAAAAAAAACATGGGGGTTTAGGGTTTAGGGTCTACGTAGGGTTTAGGGTTTACGGTTTAGGGTTTAGGGTTTAGGGTTTAGGGTTTAGGGTTTAGGGTTTAGGGTTTAAAGTTTAGGGTTTAGGGCTTAGGGTTTAGGGCTTAGCGCTTCTTGGGATTTTCTTTCCAGGGCTGGGTTGCCTTGTTTTCAAGCCGGAGGAGGCTTGCAAGTCCGGCCGGGCGTACCTAGCGTCGCGGTTTGGGGTTTCGGGTTCGGGGTTTAGAATTTGGGGTCTAGAGTCATTTAAATTCCTTTAGGGTCTTGAAACGAAATGGGATGGTTACATGTAGCCTTTGTTGAAAGGTGTAAGGTTCCTCCCTCATCTCGAAACCTCTGGAGCTCAGGCTTTGCAGCATAGGAACTCCCAGAACACCCTATCTAACCCCCAAACCTCTTTCCTACATCCTGAGAATCCGTTTATGGCCGAAAACCCCAAACCCTGAACCCTGAACCCTAACACCTGAACCCTAAACCCTAAACCCTAAACCTTTCACCGAGGACGGGCAAAGTCCCCTCTACATGGCCTGCTCCCTGGGCTCTGTCGCAGTCGCGCGTCTACTGCTGGAGGCAGGTGCGGAGAAGGACTGAAGGGTTGGAGGGGTTTAGGGTTTAGGGTTTGGGGTTTAGGGTTTAGAGCTTATAGGGTTTAGGGTTTAGTGTAGGCCCTCCGTACAAACCCCTAAGCTGTCGCGTACGGCAGAAGGCTTCAGGGCTCCGGGGGGCTTTAAAGTGTTATGGCTTCAGGGCTTTCGGTATCTGGGCTTAGGGTTTTCGGGGTTAGGGTTTCAGGTTTAGGGTTTAGGGTTTCGGGTTTAGGGCCTAGGGCATTAGGCCTCTGGTTTTGGCTTGGATAGTGGCCTGTAGATACACACCTGTTGTTTTGGGGCCAGAGACCCTAAGCCATAGACCCTAAACTCGGAACCCAGCCCGGCAGGGCCTAGGGGTCTTCATGGTTCCTCAAAAGCTCAGGACCTTCATTGAAGTAGGGTTTGTATTTCTTGTATCCCCAAAAAGACACCCAATATACATATATATATATACAGATATATATATATAGGCACTCACCAATACTCAAAAGGAACCTTATATACACTCACCAAAAACAGTAACATAAACCTTGCTTCATGTCGAGGCACAGCCCTCAACTGGAAGCACAAAGACCCTTTTGGGTAGGAGGTTGTTGATGCTCAAGGCTTGCACCCTGAACCCTATATATGGGGTTTCACGCAAATTAGGGACCCCCAATCTAGTCCCCCAAATAGTAGGATTCCCTTCTTAATAAGGAGCCCAATAAGGTACCCTAAACCCTAAACCTTAAACCCTAAGCCCTACACCCTAAACCCGAAACCCTAAACCCCCCCCATATCCTCAACAGCAGCAGGACCTCATGACCGAAAGGCGCGGAGACACGCCACTTCTCAGCGCCGCCTCACAGCCCAACCGACAAGAAGTGCTGTCACTATTGCTTCTGAGTAGCTGAGTGGGCGCACTTTACACTTTTTGGGATACCATAATCCCCTATAGAACTCAAAGTTTACACATTTTGGGGGCTTCTGAACTCAGCAACTAAGGCTTCAAGCTTCGGCAGACAAGGACAGGGCTAGCCGCTCCGGCGATACTCCGCTGTTGCTTGCTCTGAGTTTTGTAATCTTTTATCTTCAAGGCTGCTTCGAATTCTGTGTTCGGTCTTCATGGCTCTACGAACTTCCCAGGTTCATGGCAGCTGAACGAGGCCATCTGGAAAATGTCAAGATTTTGCTGCAAGCCGGAGCTGACAGAGGTTGGTTCCGGCACCTTTCTGCGACGCCACACCACGTGGCATCCCGCAACGGCCATGTGGAAATTGCACGGCTCTTGCTTGACCCGTCTTGCTGCACCCCTGACACGGGAAATGCGGCGTGCGCGCGGGGAATGACTCTACAAACCCGATTAGAAACCCGATTGGCGTATACGTGGAGGATTTCTGCATTTCTGCACCAATAATCAGTCAGTGAAAATCTACACACCAACGCAAACAAAGGGTACACAGGTAACTTTACTTTAGGTGAGCCTTACAGTGCATTCAGGTAAGACCATGCAAGTTAGTCGGTTATATTCCCCAACTTAGGTTATCGCGCCAAAACTAAGTCGTGTTGTAGGGACAGGCAAGTCTATAACCCTCGCCTTTTTTGAAGTGTATATACCTTTTCGGAAAGTTCCCCAGATGGGTCTATGTGTAGATGGAATGACCTGCCAAACACCACCCAATGTATTTTGGCACCCTTACCAAATTCCATCATGGACAAATGCCACCCTCGCCTGCAAACTAGTTTAGCTTGCGGGGTGCAGTGTTAAGGTTTCAGGAAATTTTTGCGCCTCTAAACACCCTGATTCATCAGCTGTTTCTTTGTTATTACTCCTTTTGCTTTTTTTGGGGGGGGGGGAGGGGGGGGTGTTGGAGGGCCTGCGGAGCGCCTGCGATAGTCTTGCAATTTGTTTGCGTGGCGGGTAGGGCTTCGGGGGCCTTTTCTGGGCTTAGTCCCGGCTGAAACCACACAACTTGCGATGTTGCCCCTTATGCTAGCAGTCCTTAATAGGGTTGATAATGGGGGACACTATACTCCCCATGAAGTACTGTTAGTATAAGGGGGAACATCGGAATGGATTTAGCATAGATTGTAAAGTTCTCTGGGCCCGAATCCCTCTATTCACCCCCTTACGGGGTTTACTTAAATGTACAAGGGCCCCCAAGCCCACGCCAAGTACACACCCCCAAAGCCTGAGATTTGGAGGATGCCATCCCAAAAAGGGCTTGGGACAGGGTCTAGGGTGTAGTGTTCAGGGTACGCTGAACCCTAAACTCTAAACCCCAAACCCTAAACCCTGACTGATGATGAATGAGTCTATACATGTCTATACACATATGTATATATGTATACATACACACAAATATTTGTTCTTTCTTTATTGGTCGTTTAAAGACTCCCCTGAATCTTGGAGGAGGAGACAAGGGCCCCGGCCCTAAACCCTAAACCCTAAACCCTAAACCCTAGAGGTACGCACATGGCATGATGCGGCTGGGCGCTCAAGACTTCGACTGGGCTGTCTGCGGCTTAGTTTCTTACCCTGCCTGTAGGGTTTAGGGTTTAGGGTTTAGGGTTTAGGGTTTAGGGTTTAGGGTTTAGGGTTTAGGGTTTAGGGTTTAGGGTTTAGGGTGTGAAGGTTCATGGGCACTTATAAGGTTTTGGCTTATGAGAGCATTACAGTATCCGAAATAAAGATATTAGCATAGTTACCCTAGTTTTAACCCTGCATATGTGTGCGTATGAACCTCCAAGTAAGCCCTAAACCCGTTCGCAGAACGGTTGTTTAGGGCTAGTTTGGGGTTTAGGGTTTAGGGTTTAGGGTTTAGGGTTTAGGGTTTAGGGTTTAGGGTTTAGGTTTGGACCCTTTCCCCCGAAGACACCTCTGAACCCTACTGACGCTTCTTGCTACCTATCACAAAATTTGTGTGGGGCCTCGTTTCGTAATGAAATTCCATAAGGCTTTACATGGAACTGGCTTAGCTTTCTGGATTCTCCGCGCTCTGGCTCTTTAAGATTCCTGGAGCCCAAGGCCCTCAGGGCCTCAAGCCTTACTGCGCAAGCCCTTAACCCAAAACACAAATCCTTAAAAAAAATAAAAAGGTCCGATAACAAAAAAACATGTGATAATAGTGGGTAGGTACCCTAAACCAAACTCGGTTCGCAGAATATTTTTTGACCTTTGTGATTACAGACCCTCATTACACTAAAGTCAGTCCAACATTATGGTGTTAGCTTTAATTATTTAGGGTAAACAGGGCAGCTTATAAGTACCCGTGCACCTCCCAGTAGAAAACCCGAAACCCTGAACTGTTTATCCTCCTCTCTCCCCTCCGACCCGCTGAGGCACACTGGCTGAACCAAGCCGCGCAGTCGGGCGACAGCCGAGCGCAGTACCAAATAGCCAGGTGGCTTGGAGAACAAAACCCTCACAGGGCTCGGGGCGTGGCGCTCACGAAATTCCCATGGAAAGCATGAGTATCTGGCCAGTAGAGTCGCTTGCAGTATCTGTGTGGTTTTATCTAGGGACCCTAAACCCTAAACCTTAAACCCTAAACCCTAAACCCTAAACCCTAAACCCTAAACCCTATAAACCCTAAACCCTAAACCCCTGTCGGGCACAAAGTTCAGCCTTCCCTGAATGCAATGCGATACAGACGCTGGTTGCCAGAACCTGGGGCAACTCCCGTCAAGTCCGCAAGGGTGGGTTTTGGGGTTAGGGTGTGGGGTTTAGGGTTTTGGGTTGAAGAGTGCGGGGTCTGGTGTTGCGGGTTTAGGGCCACTCTCTGAAGTAGGACATATTTATGGTCTTCAAGTTGGCTGTAGTCATACAGGGGCTGTTTCAACTTGAATGCTTTAAAGTAGGATTTAGGGTTTGGTGCGCGAGCAATTCGGCGCCTGCGTCATGAGTTCAGACCCCAAAAGCTTTACAACCCCCAACAATCGAACCCAAGTTAGAGAACTGCGCATTTAGGGCAGGCTCGGGAGGCCGGGGGGGGGGGGGTTCCAACCCCGACATTTAGAAAGGTTAGCTTCGTAGCGCAGGCCCTTTCACCCCGACACAATACCCGCAACCCCAAACCCTAAACACTAAACCCAATTTCTCAACTCGAGCGGCTGGCAGGATGTTCCTGTACGGCACGGGCCTTGAAGCGGACGAGGCCCTCAGTAGCGAGTTGTAGGTGGCAGGGTTAAGGTTTAGGGTTTAGGGTTTAGAGTGTAGGGTGTAGGGTTTAGGGTTTATGGCTTACTTGGGGTGTAGAGTTAATAACCAACATATCATCCCCATGCAACCCCTGTGCATTTCGGCATAGAAGCAAGAAGCTAAAACGGCCACTAATCCCTTCCCCCTAATATTAAACGGGGGCCACCCCCTAAATGGAAACCGCAAAGTGTTTTTTTTCTTAGGGGGGGTTTTTATCCAAATGTTCTTGACCCTAAGCCCTCTACCCTTAACCCTAGACCCCCAACCCTAAACCCTCTGAGGGTTTTATTGGTGTTGAGGGATTTATTGGAGGCCTGAACCCCCCCCCCCCCCCTGATTCGGAATAGGGTTTAAAAGGCGGGCTCGGTTTCGGGAGGATTTTCGGAATGTGTTTTTGTTATTAGGGGGGGGGGGGGGGGGGGGTGTTTAGTAAAAGGGGGAAGGGATTAGTACTGATAGCAGGGAGGCCCGCAGCTCGTCAGTTGGCAGCCCATGTTGTTGGCACCGGCGATAAACGCCTCTTCTTGACGTAGGCCGATGCTGCTGTCTCCACAAGTGGCGGCTATCCAAACCATGGAGTGCCCTGCCACAGATTGCCAAAGGCTGCTTGTTGAGGTTGGATTCCCTTCTTATGCTCAGGTGCACGGAAGCAGAAGTGGGCCAATTCCACTTCCGTTGGCAAATTTGCGTGAAGCAGGCCCATGCAACCATTCTGCTGGCCGTAGCAATCTGGGGCTGGATGCAGGATCATGGTGGGTTCGTGTGCATACACTAAACCCTAAACCCTAAACCCTAAACCCTAACCCTAAACCCTAAACCCAAAACCCTACACTTGAAGCCCTAAGCCCGACAATCAAGAGGACCCTCCTCAATGCGCAGCATCCCGAAGCCTCCTCCTACCTTAGCCCTAAACCCTAAACCCCAAACCCTAAACCCCAAACCCTAAACCCCAAACCCTAAACCCTAAACCCCAAACCCTAAACCCTAAACCCTAAAAACCAGGCCACGGCTGCCCAGTGGGCGTCAGCAGCCGCGAACAGCGGTCTCAAGGACCCCGAGCGCCGGATTTTTGTTTGGGTTGGGGTTTAGGGTTGTCAGGGTTTAGGGTTTAGGGTTTACAGTAGTTGGGTGTTGGGGGGCTTGGGGCGCCGCGCTTGTCCAGCTGAGGGCGAGGTGTGATAACGGGAAAGTCGAGTAGTCCGGGGCTTATAGTGTGTGGGCTCAGGGTTTAGGGGGGTGTGGGTGCCACCTAAATGGTTTAGAGTTTCGGGTCTAGGGTTTAGGGAGAGGGGTTGCTCCAAATGCAGGATCATAAGGGCCCTTGCGCTCGCTCAGACACGTTTGGCACAGGCCTCTGAACTAAGCTATTCTGACTGAAGGCTTGAAGGCATGCTTGCCCCTACCATGGGCAGCTAGTTCTCTAAGTTACGGTCCTCACTGGGGTTCCTACGTAGCATGCGACCAATAAATGTGAGAACTGCGTGAGCCGTGAGGCTTACGGCTTCCACGTGCCATGCCACATCTATAAAGAGCGTGAATTCGCATGGGCCCCTTGACGACATTTTCCTCTAAGGTGAGAGTAGCCCGAAGCCCCAAGTAGTTAGGGTTCGTTTCGGGGTCTTTTTTTATAAGGCGGCCCCTAATATTTAGGGTACTGTACACACAAAGAGACCTTAAAGAGACTATAATTTCTGTAAATGACCTAATCTGAGGAGGACAAGGTCGTAGGCAGCGTTTTTCAGAGAGAAAGACGTACATTCCTGGGCAGGGAACAGTGCCCACCAGCTTGCTTCCGAAGAAACGCCGAAGCACCCTATGCTCTCTTTCTCTACTCGGAGTACCCAAAAGCAAAAAACGACCTGTTGAAGGCGAAGAAGCAGTTCAAGGGTTTAGGGTTTAGGGTTTAGGGTTTAGGGTTTAGGGTTTAGGGTGCTGAAGGAGGTGGGACACCGACATGCAGTATGATCTCCGAGCGTCCTGTCTAAGCCATTCCATGAGAATCAGCACCGCCCAATAGCCTGCCCCCCCTCCCCCTTCCCCCCTCCCCCCTCCCCCCCTTCCCCCCTCCCCCCCCCTCCTCCCCCCCCCCCCCCCCCCCCCCCCCCCCCCCCCTTCCCCCTAAACAAAAAACAGCAGGTTGTTTTTTTTTGTGTAACAACAAGTCGGTTGAGGTTCGGAGTAGGTTTAGGGTTTAGGGTTTCAGGTTTAGGCTTTATAGGGTTTTTGGTTTATCTTCCGGGTTCCGCCTCCAAAGTCGGAAGCCCTGAGTGCAGAGCCCCCAACGGCACGAGGAGGCGCAGTACCTGATGGGGACCATGCTTCTGGCGGGCCAAGGTCTTCCTAGGGTTTAGGGTTTAGGGTTTAGGGTTTAGGGTTTAGGTTTTAGGGTTTGTCCTAGAACCCTAAACCCTAAATCCCTAAACCCTAAACTCCTGTATTCCCTACAAGCCCTAGAAGCCCTACCGGTCCCATAAGCCCTACAAGCTCTATAAGCAAGCCCTAGAAGCTCTATGAGCCCATGTAAGTTGCGGGCCAACTTTTTGGGAGACCACAATCTCCTATAGAACTGAAAGTGTACATTTTTTCGGGCTTATAAGCTAAGCAACTAAGTTGTTTAAGGGTGTCCTAGAACCCTAAACCCTAAACCCCTGTATCCCCTATGAGCCCTGCAAGCCCTTCAAGCCCATGCAAGGTGCGGTTGAACTGGGGTTTCGAGTTTAGAACCCTAAGTCCTAACCCCGCTAACCATAGACCTCAAGCCCCACGCACCTATCCCCCTAAACCCTAAACCCTAAACCCTAAACCCGTAATCCCGAACATCCTAACTTCCAAACAGCCTCTCTCCCTGGACATCTCCTGAACACCAAGCTGACCTGGGCTGCCCAGCGTGGGCTCCCTGCCACTTTCCCCTCCATTTCGGGTTTAGGGTTTAGGGTTAAGGGTATGGGTTTCGGGACCCTAAACCCTAACCCTAAACCCTAAACGCTAAACCCTAAACCCCGCAGGTGTTGACCAGAACATGGAGTGGGCAGCTCACTGGTTCGAGCAGGCGCAGTGTCTGCAGCGAAGGTGGTTTTTGGAGGTGGTTTTGGGGGTTGTTAGGGTTTTATGCCTTTAGGGTTTTAGGGTTTTTAGGCTCTATAGGGTTTTTTTTACGATTTTTTGGGGGTTTTAGGAGATTTCCGGAGCTGGTTTTGGGGTTTTAGGCCTTAGGGTGTTTTTAGGGTTTTAGGCTTTTAGGGTTTTCGGTTTCGGTTGCGGCTTACGGGATGTTAGGAGTTAAGGGTTTTGCGGTTCAGTTTAGGGTTTGGACTTTAGGGTATGCTGACTAGGTAGGACCCGTGGATTTTTGTCAGGCTTTCCCTTACGATGTTCTTTTTCAGATGTTTCAACGAACCAGAACTCTAAACCCTAAACCCCAAACCCCTAAACCTTCGGCGTTCTTGTAGGCTTTGGGGGGTTTAGAGGTTTAGGGCATAGGGTTTAGGGTTTATAGGGTCGGAGGCTCAGAGTTTGGGGTTTATAGGGCTTGAGGCTCAACAGGGTCGTACGCTTCGGATCTCGGAAACGAGGTTGATCCTTAGCCCGGGACCCCCCCCTGGTTTGGGTTTAGGGTTCAGGAGGGCCAGGGTTTTTCGTTTTCACAAGGCCTTTCAAGCAAAAACAAAAAGGCGAGGCACCGCCTTTGGTTTTGTCAACAAATTAGGGTTGGGAGCCGGGAAGCCTTCCTCCTTTCTGTGAACAGGAACAGGGTAAAGTGCAATGCAAAGAATGCCAGCACCCGGCCGCCGAACTCATAGTCCTTCCTCTTGCTTGCGCCCCTGCTGAAACCTGACGTGGGGGAGATCGCGTGTCAGCACCTATTTCTGGATAAGCCATGTGTGTCTCGATGTGGAGGTTCATGGGTACTGAAAGTACGGTATAGTACCCTAAATAAGATTGCAACCATAGTTACCCTACTTCTAACCCTGCAAGTACCCACGAACCTCCAAGTTTAGCTTGCAGACCCTCAAACTGTTCAGGGTCTGCGTGTCGGGTATCAGGTCATCACAAGGCAACATCGCCTCTTCACATGCACGTCTGGGACTTCAGGTGTCTTCAAAACTCATCTTTTTGTTGCCCGATTGCAACTCGCAGCTATACACCCAATACCCCCATTTCAACCCTGCTGAGCGTCGTAAACCCTAACTTTAGACCCGAAATCCCTAAACCCCAACTCCTACACTCCACACCCTAGACCCTTAAACCCCTAAACCCCTAAACTTTAAACCCTGAACTCGAAAACCCTCAACTTTTTGAACTCCTACACCCCTGAAACCTAAACTCCCAACAACCCGAAAACCCTAAACCCTAAACTCTGAACCGTTAGCTGCTAAACCCGAAGCTCTTGAACTCCTAACCCTAAACCCTAAACCCTAGACTCTTGAACTCCTAACCCTAAACCCTAAACCCTTGAACTCCTTGCCCTAAACCCTAAACCCTAGCCCTAAACCCTAAATCCAAATCCTGCAGAGCCCAGGCAGCTCTACAGGGGCACGCAGACGCGCAGTACAACCTGGGTTTGATGTGGCCTGGCTCTTTTTCGGGGGTTTAGGGTTTAGGGTTTAGGGTTTAGGGTTTAGGGTTTAGGGTTTAGGGTTTAGGGTTTAATGTTGCACTGTCTTTAGTATGGGGCCCCCCCCCCCCCCTCCCCCCTCCCCCCCCCCCCCCCCCCCCTCCCCCCCCCCCCCCCCCCCCTCCCCCCCCCCCCCCCCCCCCCCCCCCTCCCCCCCCCCTCCCCCCCCCCCCCTCCCCCCCCCCCCCCCCCCAAACAAATTTGGACCCTCTATAAACGCGTGGCCCGGCGACCCCCCCAAACAAATTGGGGGGGGGGGGAACCGCCCTCAGGGCCTCAAGCCTTTAGGACCTCAAGGCCTGAAGCTTTCCAGCCTTTAAGATTCCTGGAGCCCAAGGCCCTCGGGCCCTCGGGGCCTCAAGCCTTACTGCGTAAGCCCTTAACCCAAAACACAAACCCTCAAAAAAAATCATCCGAAAAAAAACTTGGTATTATAGAGGGTAGCCAGACAAACTTACTAAAAACAGTCTGACCGGCCCGTGGGCTACCTGTCACAAAATTTGTTTGGGGCCTCGTTTCGTAATGAATTTCCATTAGGCTTTACATGGGATTGGCCGGGCTTAGATTTCTGGATTCTCCGCGCTCTGGCTCTTTAAGGTTCCTGGAGCCCAAGCCCTCAGGGCTTCAAGCCTTACTGCGAAAGCTCTTAACCCAAAACACAAACCCTTGGAAAAAATAAAACGTCCGGAAAAAACTTGTGATAATAGCGGGTACCCTGAACAAACTCGGTTCGCAGAATAAATTTTCGAAACTTGTGATTCTAGACCCTCCTTATACTAAAGTCAGTCCAACATTAGGGTTTAGGGTTAGGGTTTAGGGTTTAGGGTTTAGGGTTTGGGGTTTAGGGTTTGGGGGTTCAGGGCTCTTGCGCGTTTAGGTTTTTAAGAAGTGGCCAGGCTTTTTGTTGGGTTTAGAGTTTCGGGTTTCAGGGTTCCAGGGCCGTATGGTTTGGCGTTTCAGGGTTTTTGCGGTTGTAGGGGTTGAAACAGCGGCGTGTGGGTGTGTGGTACCGATTTAGGGTGTGCTTGACCTGTAAACCTGCCGTTTGTGGTTTTATAGGGTTTAGGGTTTAGGGTTTAGGGTTTAGGTTTTCCAGCGATACTTGCTTCACCTTTCCCCAGCCAGTGCAGCTGGAGAACAGGCTAAGATAGAATATATGCGAGTTGCCCGGAGTTGCATATGTCGTCCCGCAAGTGCACGCCCGTACTGCCAGCAAACACGAGCCCTGTAAACCCACAACCGCAAGCCCTAAACCCGAAATCCCGAAACCCCAAACCCTAAACCCGAAACCCTAAACCCCCGAAACCCTCAAACCCTGCACCCGAAACCCCTAAACCCTCAGCCCTAAACCCTAAATCCGCGACCCGAAAAACGCTAAACCCACAGTGGGGATGTAACCCAAGGTTCCCAAATACCCCCCCCCCCCCCCCCCCCCCCACTACTACTCCCGAAGCTTCCCTAGGCCCTAAACCCTAAACCCTAAACCCTAAACCCTAAACCCTAAACCCTAAACCCTAAACCCCTCCCTTAAGAACCCCAAAACTACCGTAAACCAAGGCTCGAGTCCGGGGATGGTGTGCCAGAGGACGAGAAGTGCTTGGGGTTTTGGGTTTGGGGTTTAGGGTTTAGGGTTTGGGGTTTAGGGCTTCGGGTTCGGGGGTTCAGTTTAGGGTTTAGGGTTTAGGGTTGGGGGTTGAGGGTTTAGGGTTTGGCGTTTAGGGGTTCAAGGGTTTAGGGTTTGGG